GAGAGAGAGAGAGAGAGAGAGAGAGAGAGAGAGAGAGAGAGAGAGAGAGAGAGAGGAAGGTTCAATGAGTTGGTCGCTACAAATGTCGGGTATTGGAAATTTCATAAGCTCAAATTAGGCCAACGACATGTTCTAAAGTCGGAGACAACAGTAAACTCTCTGTGCAAAATACACTCCCATGGAAGTCTCTTCCACTCACCCAGATATGTCAGGACTCAGGTTATCTTCCGCGAATGCCAGCAGAACTGAAAAGGGGGATTCATAACCAATCAGGGTAGGTGGTAATGGGCACTTTTCCAATCTGGAGACAGAATCTCATCGAAACTCGCCAATGAAAGGAAGCCAACTGCTACTGGACAACGAACCGATGAAGCCGTGACCACCGGGATAGCAAGGACAAGCAGGGCGTACGGAGGAGACACATTCCGCCTTGCTGTAGACGACTCTTTAGAGGTGTAGAAACGAAGCATCAAGTTTTATGGACCTGAGGGTTTAGGGGTTTATAAACTACAAGTACTTGGCCCAGCTGTTGGCCGCGAAAAAAAAATAGAGTAGAAACGTCTCTAGTCCGATGAATTTGGGCGTTCCTGTAGTGGCCCGTACGTTTCCTAAAATCGTGGCTTGTTAACGGGCACCACTTTAGGACGTACTCGTGGTTTAAGGGCCTCCATGACAATCCATGACAGGAGGAGGAATGCAACCTGCCTTGGTACCGACAAGTACACAGACAGATAGAATATCACGCAGGAGAGGCACTCCCCTCGCGGGATACCTATGAATACAGAACATACGAGTACGGTCGGGCTTAAAGGGGCGTTAGGGTTTAAGGGCTGGTGGAAGCGGAGGTTAAAGGTTTACAGGTGTCTGTAGATGGAAGGAGTTTTTCAGCCCGCACTACCGGCAGGAAGCAATCATGGGAGTGGGAGGGGAAGTGGCTAGCATTGTCGTGCCTTCCAGTGGCGGCCTCAGGCCTGTGGAGAGGCTGAAGAGGCACTGCCCCGACTCATACCGAGAAACCCTGAAGCTGTAATATGCAATTGAAATAGGGGACGCTGGGCTCGATTCCCTGCAGGTGCAGCTCCCCCAGCAATGGATGGAGCCTACCTACCCAGGACAGCTTGAGGCATCATCTGTTCCTAGCCTCCTACCAGCATCTCAAGCTGTGTCCCGCCGGGGCTGTTTGCAGGGGGGAGGGGGGGGKGGGGGGGAAGGAAGCATAAAAAAAAAAAGAGAAAGGAAGCAAGTACACAGTCCTCAAGATTGCTGAAAGCAATCGGATCGATAACCCATCTTCTATGACGTACTCAAGAGTCAGTGGTCCCTCGAGGAATCAAGGGAAGAACTCGCTTTATCGGGACACTGGGGACTCAAAGGGACTGCAAATCAGACCCAGGGTGAGGGAGCAGGAGCTAAGTGAATCAATGAGAGAAAAATAAAAATACAAAAATAAAGAACAGAA